ATGTGTATTGACAGATGAATCGTCGCAGCGTGACTGGGACAGCGGCGTATCTTCCAACATGTCGTAAGTGACCTTTTTTCTTGTCCTGCGCCGCAGCAGAAGACCTTCCTTCCCTTTCCGTGTACTCCATCTACATGGGATATACATGTGCATGCTATAAGCGTGTTTCTCTTGGTACGCTTCCCGCTCATGGCGGGAAAAGGAGCACGTCTCACTTACTAACCTTGAGTCTCTCTTCATTCTCTTTTTGACCAGGTCGCCTCCAACATCCAAGCGCATCAAGACATCTGTCTCCACCAGCGTACCACCACAACTCCTAACACAGCAACAAATCAACCCTTTCCAGAGAGTCCCTACTTACGAGGGCATTCCTATACCTCCTGCTCAGGTGGCGCCTCAGAACTCCCGCAAACGCCGCGCTTCACCCCAGTCAAGTGCCACAGCAACCATGGCTGCACCAGTCACTTCTGCTTCGGCGGATGCAACGCAGAACCCCCAAAGTGCCCCAGAAGCGGCTCCAAAGAAGAAAGGACGGACCAATACGCCATGGACGGCGGAGGAAGAACAGAGACTCAAGACGATGCGCGACGCGGGTCGCAGCTGGAGCGAGATTGCCAAGGTTCGTCCCGATGGTCTACCTCGTATCGATAAAGCTGGCTTCGCTGATTCTTTGCTCCTTTGCGGATCCTGCAGACCTTTCCCACCCGAACTGAGGGAAGTGTGAAAAAGCACTGGTACAAGGTTGGGCGTGTCCTCACTCTTATGAGCTCGGACATGATACTCACATCTGTCGCAGGACATGCATTATGCCGAGTTCGCGGAAGAAGAGGTACTGCCTGATAGATTATTGGATGATCTTTGTGCGCTGACACCATTCAGTCCGTTGCCCTACGGGAGGCAATAAAAGAATACGAAGCCAACAAGTGGAAGGTCATCGGACAGAAAGTTGGAAAGCCCGCCAAAGTTAGTCACATCTTCCTCCAACTTGCGTGGTGTCCAACTCCTAAATCGTTGTGTTTAAACAGGCATGCGAGCAATATGCGAAGGAGCATTTCAAGAATCTTTGATTGTGATATGACATTCAACGACGTGACGATTTTCATGCAGGGTAATGATGCAACTCTCTACATATCGAACTCGGAGCTTCGCGGTGGGCACAGCGCGCAGGACATGGAAACAAGGTTTAGGAACTGCACAGGTTCATGGAGTTCGTCATTTTTCATTTATCCAGTCTGTGTTCTTTCGTTTCGTTGGGTTTCCTTTCGGCCGTGCTCTTCTACTGTCACTATATGCCCTTGACTTCACTTGTTTATTTTCAATCATATGCATTTCTCTACCAAGTTGATGCATGTGCTAGAATCAATGTGATTGCTTAAGACATCCCAAGCCACACGTGCCTATCGAGCCGTCCCTGTTTACAATCGCCTTTGCTTAACAATATTATCATACTTCGCGCTACCAAGACGATAATGTATATGTAGGGCTTGGATGGCCCTAGCTCTCCGAGGGCTGATCGTTGGGGGTTCCGCGACGATAGTAGAGCCGACAACTACCTGTCTCGGCTATCCGATACTTAATCTGTTATTTATCTTGTACTTTCAAATTTCGATCCATCGCCACGTTGAGGATGACTTTTGCCAAGGCGCGAAGGGCGGAGACCAGCAAAGACGCTTTTGAGGTTGAAAAAAGTTTCCCGCGGCGGGACACAAATACTTGTAGAAACCTTCCTCGGATCCCCGCTCATTTTCTTTGCCTCTGTTCTGTTCTCCCTTCATCTTACTCGTGGTACTCATCCTTGCGTCGATCGAATTTTGTCAGAGAGGGAAGAGGCTTGCGCTCATTGGCATATCGATCGAGTTCCCCACATATTACTCGGTAGTAGTTTACTCCATCCAGGTGTGGAGAAATCCTTTATCGGAGCAAAACTCGCTGACTCAAAAGATCCTCCTTCCCTCTATCTATCACCAGGTCATCGGGTATCACACCGGTTCAATCTCCATTGGGCCCAGAAGCAACATTCCAGTACATCTCTCCTGTCTTCCTAAATCTGCAAAAGATAGCTTTCAAGCCTATCATGAAGACGAGTAGCCTGGTTTTGTCTATCGATCAAGGTATCTGATAATCTGCCTGCATGAAGACCGGTGTTCGGCTTCAGTGTTGCGTTTCACATATCCTCTGGTGGTCATTGTCGCTAGTCACATCGTCAGATTGTCGCCAGTGGTCCCTGGATACATGTGGCGTCGCTGTTGTCGTTCTGAGATTATACGGTTGAACTTGATCTGGATAATTCCAGCGAAAGGACTCATGCGCGCTTCTTTGAGCTTCTAGCCCTTTCAATCGTATTTGAATACTAACTCAAGGGTAACAGCATGTCGTCTGAAATCGCGAATCCCTCGCTAGGGAGGCACCGCGAAAAGGAGCCTTCGGGCTTCCGTTCCGAGGAGCAACCGACTCCTTATCTTCACAAGAATGATGAAAACCATAGCGAGAGCCCCAATGGCCGCGTTATCCCGTCCCGCATGGGCATGTACCTCAGGAGGTTCGAGCACCAGCTCGTCGAGTATAACTTCGAGGCACGCGGAATCGAACGAGTGCATGAGGATGAACGCATGAAAAAGCTCTCCTGGGTTTCCTACGCCCAGGCGTTCCTGCTCTGGGTCTCGATCAATCTGGCAGCAAACAACATAACTCTGGGAATGTTGGGTCCTGTTGTTTACGGGCTCAGCTTCCTTGATTCGGCGTTGTGTGCTGTTCTGGGTGCATTGCTTGGTTCTGTGGTGTCGTCGTGGATGGCTACTCGAGGACCTATCTCTGGAATCCGCACCATGGTATGTTCTCGTCTTGCTTACGAGTATTGCGCGATAAGCAGCTTTCTCTGACAGTTATGCAGGCTTTCGGGCGTTATGCAATGGGATGGTGGCCCAGCAAGATCGTAGTGATTTTGAACTTGATCCAGATGCTCGGATATTGCCTCATTGACTGCGTAGTTGGAGGCCAAATCTTGTCCGCTGTCTCACCAAATGGGAATCTGTCAGTTGCCGTTGGTGAGTAATTTGTCACTTATTATTGCTTGTCCTTGAACTAACAAGAACGAAGGTATCGTGACTATAGCTCTTATAAGTTGGGTCGTTGCCACCTTTGGCATTGATGCCTTCCATTACTATGAGCGGTATGTAAAGCTTGAAAGACTTGTACAGACGAAGACTGACCGTACCAAGCTACGCCTTCCTTCCTCAGTTGATCGTCGTCTGCGTCTTGTTCGGCGTCTCCGCCACGAAGTATGACCTGTCAACGCCATCGGTAGGAGATGCTCGCACAATCATTGGGAACCGGTATGTTTCTGGAGTCCTTGTTTACATGCGGCGAAAAGACTTTGTTCGAGTCTGACAGCATCAGGCTATCGTTCTTTTCGATTTGCGTGAGTGCTGCCATCACCTATGCTCCCTTGGCGGCAGACTTTTTCGTCTACTATCCAGAAGGAACCTCCAAGTTGGCCATCTTCTCCCTATCCTTGTCTGGCCTGATGGTCTCCTTCACCCTGGCCTTCCTCGCCGGTATTGGGCTCGCCTCCGGTATACATTCCCACCTAGAATACAGCGCGGCATACGCAAAGGGTGCAGGCGCCCTTATCGTCGAAGGGTTCGGCCCTCTGCATGGATTCGGCAAATTCTGCTCCGTAGTTGTCGCCCTCGGACTGATCGCCAACACCGTTGCCCCTACATACTCTGCCGGTGTCGACTTCCAAATCCTCGGCCGGTACGCGGAGAAGGTCCCCCGCGCTATCTGGAACACCATTGGCGTGGTCATCTACATCGTCTGCGCGCTGGCGGGGCGGAGCCACCTATCAGAGATCTTCACCAACTTCCTCGCGCTTATGGGATATTGGGTCGCGATTTGGATCGCGATCATTCTCGAAGAGCGTTTCATCTTCCGCTTGCGCAGCGGGTACAACTGGTACGCCTGGAACGATCCGTCCAAGCTGCCCGTGGGCATTGCAGCCTTCATTGCTTTCCTGGTCGGCTGGGCCGGTGCAGTCCTCTGCATGGCGCAGCTCTGGTACATCGGACCGCTTGCCAAGTTGGTCGGGGAATATGGCGCAGATGTAAGTGCTTCTCTGTTCTTCATGCCTGTAAACCGTCTGTCTACTGACTTCCTACAACAGATGGGCAACTATGTGGGATTCACATGGGCCGCCCTCGTCTACCCTCCCCTACGGTACATTGAATTTCGCTGGCTCAAACGATGAGTCTCCCAGTAACTAAGTACTTGAGCTACGACAAAAGGTTGTCACGGCCGAACAAATAGACATATACGACTTTTAGAAGAGTGAAGACCCAGGAGAAGGTTTCATCATGGGGATAATATTGAAAAGTTCTTTTGTTGGATTCTTAATGCATACACGCCTGCTCCATACCAATAATGCCATTGATGAGTTTTGGTTATGGATTGGATTGGTTCCGCCACTGAAATTTGTATGTTGCTGATGCCTAAGTCACGTCGATTCGATCGCGCCATTCACCGGCATTTGCAGTCAAAGACCTAACCACAAACGAAAGCACGGGTCTCGGGCTACTTCCGGTTCCCCGGTATTCCCGTAGATCAGGCCATACTTCATAATCCGTACTAGGCCATATCATGCCATCCAGCCATGGCTGCATGTGTCACATGCTTCTCAAATCGTGCGTAGACTTGACGGATTGACAAGGTCATGGAAGACATTCTACAGTAAAGCAAGGAAGAAGAGAAAATCGAGAAAACAAACACCAATCACACTCCGTTCAATCAACTTCGACTATATTCTACAAAAAAAACACCAGGGAGTGGTCAACAGTGAAGATACAACCGCCTTAGACGCGTGACAAATAAACGGTCAAAAGGCCTGAGGCGGGGATACTAGCTATTTCGACGTTTGCTGTCTATCGTCCGTTCTTTTCTCCTAAATCTTTTCTGTGGAGTAACAGGCCACAGGACAATCGCACAATATTCGTAGCATGGAATATTTACCGGTACCAGTACTCAGGCTTGACGTAGTCGGCGAAAGTCTTGGGCTCCTCCTGAGGGGGGTGGTGGCTGTGATGCTCGTCTGCAGACAAATATGTAAGGATCCGGAAAACAACGGAAAGGGAAAATAGAAGGCGAGCAGAGATATGGGACAAGTAAAGGCGACTTACGAGCATGGGGGTCCTCCTCAGGTCCAACATAGTCCAGCTTGACGACATTACCACACTCGCCGCAGCGCTCAATGGGACGATCACGAGATACCTATGGTGAGAGAGAAGGTATGCCTTAGCCATCTGAGCAATTTGAGAGCACAAAGAAGCCACGAAGCGTGCAACACTTACCGTCAGCCAGACGACGTGGTGAGAGTCTGCGGGGTATCCAGTGCAACCGGCGTACTGCTCGTCACCAGCGCTCTTGACAATGATGGGGTTGTCAAGGGTTCCTAATCCCGCAAGCTTCGTTAGCCTCGATTCAAACGCGCGACACGCTGCTTCCACGATTCAATTAATGCAAGGAGATCTGCATACCCTTTCTGGAAGCATCGAGGGGTCTCATGTCGAAGATGTCAATGCCCTGCATCTTTCCGACAAGTTCCAGACGCTCAAGACCGGTGGCCTGCTCGACGTCCGTAGGGACGGTGCCGGGCTTAGCACCCGGAGCAATGAGGTCATCCTCACCCTTGATATCTGCAAAGTAATCATAAAGTGTCAGCACAATGCTTTGTTCACAGTGGGTGTTATAGCCGAGGGAAAGTCAACGAAATCCAGTATGACGAAAATGAAAGAATGAGACCGAAAACGAGTCCAGCGACACATTGCATAGCACAAATAGGTAGCTCTCGACAGAAACAATGATTGGTATTTTCGAAATTCTCGTAACGTTCCATGACAGAGGCCCGACGGATCATCTTATCACCAACCTTCAAAAGGAAGAATCTTGCCCTCCTTCTTCACCTCATACTTCTTGTTGCCTAAAACACGAAAAAGCCCAATGTTAGCCGGAGTACCATGCAGCATTGTCGACAAAGTGATAATCGGTTGCCTTGTGCAGACTCAATTGGGCCACGCAAGGGACGATGGTGTCATAGAGGTGGTGCGGGCCATTCATTGGATTCACGTACAGCGGACGACGGAGGAGGAAAAAGGACGAGCAGCAATGGCTCTGACCGGGGCGCGCCTTGCAAGGGCAAAAGCTGTGCGTTGGAGGAACATTGTCCTGGACAATTGATGGTATCGCGGCTGGATGAGTGGAGGGAGGAGGGTTGGTGGAGAGGGAGTTTGGAGGTTCGAGGTGAGTTTGAAGCCGTTTCGGCCCGCTGACGACTGGAGCACCTGACTGAGAGCCGCCCAAACCTCCCGAGTCGTGCGCTGCGTCTTACTCAGCAGACCCGACTGATTGGCTGCGGAGCTTCTACGGTGCACTACAAACACCAGTGTAGCATTTCCCCCCTTTCCGGAAGTCTATTTAGGGCTTAGGGCAAATAGAACCGCATCGCAAGCATTGCAGCGCCTGGGGTCCAAAAGACTGTTCTAATCCCTATAATACAGGTATATACACAATGTTGTATAAGCATCTTTCCATGGCCAGCCATGGCTTTTCTTCATCCATCCGTCGCTTAAGGGAAAAAAGAGAAATCCAAGAAAGAAGAAGTAGGAAATCCCACGCATCACTGACCATTCCCATCCTCGTGTATCCTCTTATCCTATATGATATCCATCAAAACGTTCGTCACAGCTGGGACGCCTTTTCTCGACAAGCTGCTGGAGTAAAGCCATTGCCAACCTTCCCTGCGATTATTCGCCATCGATCATTCTCGTACTCTTGTATCGCACGCTGTAGTCGTTGAACCTAGACATGCGTCAGTTAGTACGTCAGCGGTTCCTCTGATATGTTGAATCTCATAAAGTAATGCTTACCATCTCATCCGTCCATGTAACATCCTTTGCCTTCAGCTTGGTACAATAACGAACTTGCAGCGTGCCACTCGTTCGACCGGGAAAGAAGTCGGCTATTTGCTTCCACGTCAGGTTCTTGTTCTCTTTCAACTCAACCAGTAAGGCATCCTCCTCTTGTGTAAATTTAAGTTTCGGACCTCGAGGCCTGGGAGCCGGATCAGGCATGCCTGGTTGGCCCACCACGCTTGGTGGACCAGACTGAATAGGAGACGTTTCCACATTCATGCCATGCCGCTCTGCAGAGTGAAGCGATGCCTGCGGGGGTAGACGATGGTGGTGGTGTTGTTGGGGCAGCGCCATCGACTCAGGCGGCCCGAATCTGTGGCTCGACATCGGTTGATGATGGTGGTGGTGATGGTGGTGGTGTTGTTGTTGTTGTTGCGGTTGCTGTTGCTGTTGATGGTGTGCTTGTTGCTGTGAAGAATCGCCTTGGACAGAAAAGAGCATCCGTGGGGATTGTGCCGTCTCTGTAGATGCCTGCGTGGAAAGCGCTGACAAGCGCGGGCGAACTCCATGGTCCCCGTAGTTACCTTCGCCTTCCGCCTCGGAATGGGGTCGCTTCTTGCCGCGTTGAACTGGTGGGATCTCGAAGGTGGCAGGGGTATACTGCATCGGAAGCTGTCTAGGGAGCATGTGCGCTGGTGTGAGAACAATGGACTGGGAAATGTCAGGATTTGCTGCTTGGAGAACGGTCGTGCTTGCATGATGTTGCTCGTATGTCGTGCTGTTTGGGGTCCCCTGCGGGAACGGAGATTTGGCCTCTTTATGACGTTGAAGATGCGAATGCTGCGTTTGGTAGGCGAGTGCGTTCTCATGCCCCTCCGGTTTAGCATGTTGGGCATAATCAAGCGCATAATCTCGGTACGGATCCGCCAGCGTCACAGACATACATCGGCTCTGCTAGGGCTCCGAAGCCCCGGCAGGCTATTCGATCTTTTGTTGAAAGCTTCGACACGAGATCTGACTGTATAGAAGATGATCGGAGCCTGGTTATTGCGGCAAGTAGAAGGGGAACGCTTCGTTTATGTCGGGGATTGCGATGCGAACGTTAGCTAATGCGAGGAGCTGCAACGCGAGATGATTCCGCCATGCACAACGACAGGAAGACTCTCGAGTAAACCAGTCCTACCCTTGGCTGGTGGCCAGCGATCTGGTACGCGTTGATACGCGCTGATATGCGCTGACTGTCCCACTGGTCAATATGATGGAATATATCCAGAGGATGATAGCCGGGGGCGCGAATAGAAGCGTGTGATGCATCTCGAGTCGAGAAATGTCCAGGGGCAGGAAGGGCCATTTAGGCCCTCTGTATCTGATGAAGGTCCAGGCTATAGGTTGCTTGGGGTGAACTTGGCAAATGGAAACAGCTTCCTCTTACCAGGGTACGTTGGCCAGTCGGGTCTCTGAAATGGAATGTTTTAAACTCGGTCGTCAACGCACTGGATGGCGATGGGTCAGCTTTACCGAATCGAGGCAACGGACAGGTCAGACACAGAGCTTGATTGGCATCAGGGGATATTAGTGTGAAAATGGGATTTTTGAGGCGCTCCTTGTCGTTACTGAAGGTGCAAGGACACGGAGATAAAAGCAAGAGAAAAAGGAAATTACAAAGGCCGAGACAGGCTCAGATAAATCTCTCATAAGGCGCACACCCTGTTCGGTAATAGGCCGCAGCACTCTTGATGCCGGCCGACAATACAGACTAATGGATGCGAAGACACAAGAGAAGTTCTAGAATGAAAAGGGTAATCGGATGGTAGAGGAGAGGCGGAGTTCATACGTACATCACAGAATCAGCACAAGGTAAGAAAATCGCCCATTCGACGGATCTGCGTTTCCAGTCAAGCTTACCTAGCCTGCAGATGGGACCCAAAGCATACAATGACGGCAACAAGGACAATTTAAAACTCTGAGAGATTATTTGCTCCGTGCCAGGCTGCCCGATTACTGCCAAAGTATGGCAGGTTCTGGGAAGGTTAAGAAGGCGAGAAGCAAACCGACAGCAACAACTAAGCCTGAAACACTGTGCTAGACGAAGAGAGTCTCACAGAGTCTCATATTTAGCTCCTTTGTCACCATGCATGTATGTCTACAGGATCAACAGGAGCGGAGACAGTCAAGCCCGACAATACACCAAGGCTGGGCTAGGATAAACTAATGCTCACCTATTGAATACGAAAGAGGATGAGCAGGACGCTGGACGTCGGGTTAAGGGATACACTCTAGATGCCGACATGCCGTAGACTAGTTAGGCTGAAATAGCCAAGGCCCCTGGTTGACCGTCGAGACAAGACGATGTCGTACTTTGGGTGCCAGAAACTCCACTCGGATGACAGGCCAATAAATGAGAAAGGCGCTGAGCACATAGGAGCAACCGACGAAACTCCCACGAGGTAAGAGGGGGGTGAGTGGTGACAGAGTATCAGGACTACTAGCGCAAGGATGCTAGCTAGCTCATGGCTGGTGTTTGGTGGGCCGTGGCCCTGCCGGGCAGTTCCAGCCTAGCGTTCTGACTCGAGTATAAGAGAACGATCCCGGTCTATAAATCCTGTAGGTCTCAAAAAAAGGTGTGGGACCTCGGGGCAATGTCACGAAATCAAGCTGCGAATGCCAGGCTCCGAATCTGTGATAGAGTAGGAGGTAATGCTGTCAAGCAGGAGATGTAGTATCTCACGCAGGCTAGTGTTTGTGACCTGAAAATGTACCCACCCAAAGTTCCCTTTGATTTATTTTCATCGACAGTTTCCCTGCTTCGCTTTGGATGAATTTTTCCTTTTTCTTTTCTTCTTTTTTCTTTCATTTTTCCTTTTTCGCCAGAACTGTCGTCAGAAACTAACAACGGGATACCCGAGTCCCCTGCGGAATTAAGGTCGAGACCGTCAAAGGACTGTCGAGTGAGCTTCCCCCGCGTTTATTTCGCTGTGTCTCTCTTAGAAATCAGAAATACCACTTGGATAAGAAGGGTAAGCCCTCCCCGACTAACGGTCGGATTTCAATTGCCTAGTTTCCGAGAAGGCTTGTGGTCCGTGTGCGTTCGTTGACTTGTGAGTTGTGACTCGTCGAGGGGATGTCAACCGTCGTTTTCATCAGCGTTATCTAAATCCGTCGAGATCGCCATCAACGTGGTGTGTTTGACGGGCAATTTTTATGCGAAGTAAGCTAGACCCGTACAGTTGATTAGAATCTGTCATAGCGTACATTGGTGGATATGATCGCAGTCTTTCGGCATGCTTTTGCGATCGATGATTTCCACCCGCATCTCACTACTGTAACACTGTTGGGGCCGCATGGATTTTGACTTTGGTTCTAGAGACCCTGAGGCAATGGTGAAACAGATTTCACTCTCGCAAAAGAAACCGCTAATGGTTGGCCAAGAAAAGGAAAACTGAGGTTGCTCGGTCCCCATGACTCAGGAGAAAGTTGAGGCCTACACCGGAGCCAACCGGAAAGAACGGCGTTAGTGTCTTCGAAAAGACTTAGCTAGAATGGAATAGCAGGAAGCTGGGGGGTTGGGAAATGGCTGAGTTGCTTCGTAACTAGCCTGCTGGGTAGAAAGATAGATAGACAGGAAGAGGTGGTTGTCAATGTCGACGTAGCGTGGGTCCTGTTGGTGGGATGATCTGAAGCCATCGTCAAACAATCAACCCATCTCCCAATTAAAGATGCTTCCAGCCCAGTCCAGTCTCGAGTCTGTCTGCACTAGACTGCACCATCCGGTTTACCAATCCTTCTGAGCCCCGTATTAATTTTAAAAAGAAAGGATACTAGTTTCTATGCATCTATGGAGTATAGTCGAACAGCTTATCAAGAACCAAGCAAATATCGAACTCCATAGAACGAATCAGGTCTCAGAGCAGATTGACGAGAGAATATTAATCAACCAACTGATCATTGTACTAACTACTGTACATACATACAAGGCCCCAGTATTCATTTCAAATTGTAGTCCGCATCGCATAAAGATGATCGTTCCTCGCTTTTCTGGCCATGGCTCAAATTATGTCGCCCTAAAAAAACAGATCAATGGAGGAAAGAAAGCACTTCGGTCATGCTTTCAGAGTAAAAACAATGTGGAAGCATTGCAAGAAGGGGAAAGCGCCTCGAGAACAGGAACAATAAGACAAGATAGAGAGAAAAAATAAAAAATAAAAAAGGTAATCCCAACACCAGTACTTGCTTTAAGCGAAATTATCGGAACGATCAACCCAAATGTCCTCGAGTTCAGCAAAGTTCTGGAAATGCAAAGGACGATGTTGGTCGTCATAGAATCTCAACGGTGTATCAATCTTGACATAGACAGGTCGCTTTTCGACGCTGCCGAAAGAGCTTCCCATGAAGCTATAGTTCCACACATTATCTTCAGGGACTAAGAAGTATCCGCGTATCTTGTCGCTGAGCAGCAGTTGACATTTCTGACCCATGCTGGTCGAGAACCCTTGTGGTTGGTCAGATGTGGTGTCTTTGTTCTCAGCTCCCCACTTGTAACCCTGGGGCGTCAGCCCCCACGCTGCAAGGGAAACAGATCCAGGGGTGAATGACACTGTCATCGTGACGGTCTTCTTGTCCCACGAGGGGTGAGCATTCATCAACCGCGCGTGCTGAGTCACATCCATAGCAGTCATGTAATGTGGCTCATTGCCAGAGATCGTGTGGATGACACCGAGAGGCTCAAGCCCGTTCAGATACTCATGCTGTGGCAACTGTTGGGGCAACTGCACATCTCGAGTATTTCCGACCTGCGGAATCATGACGATGGTTCGAATCTCCTTCACTTGGTCGTTATCAGGAGGGGAGCTACCGTAGAGATACCCAGCAACCTGCACTCGAAGATCGGCAATGGTGATGAAGCGACGAAGGATGTTCTTGGGCATGATATAAGTGTATCCTTCCTCTGAAACATCGTCTGACGAAATGTAGATATTATTGGCTCTCGTGCGAAGATTCGAGGTCGCAATTGCCCGTGTACGCCATTCGGTCTTCGAAGCAAACGACTGCTGTTCGTACTGAGAAGTGGTCGTGACGATGATTTCTTCACCACGAACATTCTGCGTCTTCGTCGTGACAGCTGTGAGCTGCTTCGCTTCCTCCTGCTGCTTCTCAATTTCCGCGGCCTGCTGCCGCTGCAGTGAAGGCGCACTAATCTCCATACCAAGGATAATGTCTCGGACTTCGCTGCTCGTCAAACTCTGCACATTCACATTGTTCTTCTTTCCATAATCGTTGAGAATCAAGTCACGAAGTTGCACTTCAACCTTGATCCAATCTTCATCCGATAGCGTAGGCCAGATGTGATGCTCTTGTGTAATTACTGTCTTGTCAGGTCGCAAGATGATCTTGGCCTTGTCGATATTGACGTGCAGAGCTCGCAGAATAAGAATCAGCCGGGAGAAGGCGGTATACGGAGAGATGGACTTGAGCCATTCATCGTAGAGGTTGAAGAGTACCATTTGTGGTTCGGTTGCCCGCAAAATCATATCTGCCAGCTTCTCGACCTTCATGGCAGCCTGGAACGGCAACTGGAGCTCAGAGGCACGGATGGAGATGTTGGGGAAGTCGAGCAGATGGACTTCAAGGGGATCCAGAAGACCCTTTCGAGTGACGATGAGCTGCTTAGGCTGTTCTTCCACAGGCAGAGATCGAATGAGTGCTGCAACTTCTTCGGCTGTCTTCCACTTCGCTAATTGGCCAAGACGCTTCTGACCAGCCCAAACACTGGTGTGAATAATCTTGAGGAAGAGTTGACCGGTCCTAGGGTTGAAGATGAAGATGGCACCGTTGATGGGCTTTGTGGTCAAGTTACCTTCGAAGGTCTTATGAATGGTGACACGGTAGACATTAGTATCGTCAATGAACAGTTGAATCTGAGGACTGAACAGTTCAGAGTAATTCTGAGAGTTGAGGAACTCCTGGTTGCTTTCAGACGCATACAGCTGCAGACCCTTTCGAATACGCTCTCTTAGTACATACAAGGCAGGGTTTGCCTTCATGACCTTGGCCATGGCCTGCTGGATCAGAGTCTTCAAGCCTGGGAAGTACTGTCCGTACGCTGAATAGAGATTGTATGCAAGATCAATACCGATCATGAGACCAGTGGCGGAAGGATAGATACTCATGCTATCGGTAGTGTAGTCGAGATACTTGGCGCGGACATATCTCTCGATATCGTGAGAGTCGTAATCGCCGTATCTCAACTGTACATCAAGCCAGAACTTGTTGGTCGTGGTCGGCTCGTAGACGTCTTTGGTGTCGAACAAAATGGAAGGTCTAGTCACGTTCCACTTGTTTGTTGCGAAGAGCAGGATGTCTGCGCACGAACTGTTCATCTTGTAAGACTTACGTGGGTGGATGGTCTCCTTCTGGACAGCTTCGATGCCCAACTGCTCGAGTTCCTGATCAAACACCTGGCACAAGTCCATGACAACGGATTCGTGGATTTTCTGCCACAAGTGCGCACGGAAGATCTGAATCAAGGAAATCTTCAAAGTAGGGATCTTGCCGTGCAAGAAGATACCTGTAAGATCAAGCTGCACCTGGAAACCGACATAGACGTTGGCACGGTTGATTGTTGGCGACCACCACAGGGTGAATCGACGGTTAGGAATCTGGTTCAAACCAGATCGCTGAGCATTGGTAAGCTTCTTGAACTTCATCGATTCTTCGAAACCACTGTTATGCAAGACAAGATAATCGTGTCGCAGGTAAAGCTGATCTTTGTCGACTCGGAAACCGGCCCACTCCGTGGTCTCGAGCTCAAGTCGAATATCTTTGATCGTGAAACTATGATTTGCCGGCACTGCCTTCTCAGACAATTCGAAGCCAGGACATCTGAACGCTCGATACAGACTCCGTTCCTCGGTACTGAGGGCGGCGAACTCAGCGGCGGTCATTTCAACGGTATCGTAACGCTCTGCTGCTGGGACTTCAGGCAGCTCGTCATCCTCGTTATTTTTGGCCTTCTTCTCCCGGTGAAGAACAAGGATATGGTTTGGCGTAACCACAAGATCCTCTATACCTCTATCGATCTTGATGCGATAGAGACGGTCTTCACCATTCACAATGTTGAAGACGCGACGAGGACCGCCGTCGGGACCAAGAAGTAGGTCTCCTTCTTTGACATCCTGGACCTCGATTTCGCTACCATCGTACCGCAGCAGCCGTGTCCCCTTGGCAAGGCACGCTCGTTCCCAGAAAAGACCCTCCCAAGAGGGGAAGGCAGTGGCCTTGAACAAGGTGTGCTCCAGAATCGTCTCAACACCACCAAGCGCTTGAATGACGTCTGTGCGGTAGGCGTTCAAGTTCCAGAGCTTACCGTCATGACGTTGGCTTGTCCACCAGAATGGATTGCTCTTCATCAGCTGGTACTGCTTGAACTCTGCTCTGAGACGGAAACCCTTATCGAAGCTGAGTGTGCTTCTATCCTTCTGGAAAAGAGTGTTGATACGAGGGAGACCACGATCCCAGCTATCTTCCAAGTCCTCCAAAGTCAGACGGCGATTCTGCTGCTGAGCTTCCATCCGCTTCTGAGAGTATTCCATCCAGACTCGCTGAGAGTCGATGAACTCGGCCTCCCATGGAATGATGTATCGGAAGATATTAGGAATGAGGGTCTCCTCGTCATGTGACATCCCCGCTCGGAAGTGAGTAATGCCAGTATCCGTCTGCTTCGACCACCGCTTGTCGCTGGCGGGAATCAAAATATGAGAACCCGAAATCATGCCCAGACCTCCCAATTCCTTTGGCGTGTAGAAGACCGCAGGAGGGAAACGCGAGGGCATCTTGGAGTTCAGACCAATCTTAACGCGAGTCTGAATCTTGGTCTCGCATTTGACAATCGTGTCCAAGAGATTGACGGTGGAGACAGCAGCTTCACGATAATACGTAAAGAGCGCGATAAGAGCGGTGTTCCACTTGTTGGCGATCTTGGTGAAAGTGGTTGAACCGGAGGACATGAGGATTTGCCGAATTCGGTTGTTGAATTTCTGAATGTCCTCCTCCGTTACTTGCAAGAAAGCATGGGCTGTGCGCTCCTTGGTGGTGTTGTCTACCAGAGACCACACACTGTCCTTGACCGAGAACTCCTCATTCTGATTGCGAATCTTTGGCAGAATACGGACCTCAAATCCACACATGGAGAACAGTAGGTTCGGGTTGTCCTTGCTGTACACGCTAGCAAAGGTATCATCCCATTCAATCGTCGTAATTGACCGTGGCAGACGGTTCTTCAAGTCCCAGAACGCAGCGCGGCCGAGATTAACATCGTGTCGCATCAGACGCATACGGCAATCACGCGGCCAGCACTTCTTGTTCTTATATCCAATGACGTTCTCAAAATTAGGGTCAGGATTCTCCGTAAGGAAGCGCTGAATAAGATCCCTGGACTCGTCGGCGGTGAATCTGAAGAAGACCCAGATCTTGTCGACGTAGCGAGTGTACAAACGAATGGGATGTCTTGTCTCTGTGGCACGGTCTCTGAATTGCAAGAAGTCGTTGGGACTCTGTGGCGGACCTGCCATCTCACTGGCTCTTTGCAATCCAAGGAGCAGCAGATCAATCATAAGACCATAATACTGGAAGACGAAACCGGAGAACTGCAGACCCCTGATCAATCCGTAGCTGTTGGTATGGTTCATATCCTTGTAGCTCAGCTGCACATTGTTCTTCGAAGTAATGTAATCAGCCAAGTTGTGATCCATGATCAAACGTAGCAAACGATTCAAGAGAGTAAGATCAATCTTCTCATAGACCTTGGATAGCTCCGTTTCGATCATGACATTCGTCTCGCCATCAGCAGTTTCCCAGACGTTGGACAAATTATTGATTCCCTGGGCCCATTTGTAGGTCAACAGTGGAGGGACTTCAGAATCCGAAGGTTTGATCCAAGCTGGGAATAGGTGGCGCTGCTCTGCCTGATACCAAAGGTACTGGTCCAGGTAGGCGTCCGTGATCTTTTCAATCGGTTCGACATCATAGACAGGGTTGATGTTGTTGTAATTGTCGTTCATATCGATTCCAACTTCCTTGAATGCTCTCTGCGTGAGCAGGAACCTCTTGATTCGGGCCAGCGTGGTTCCAGGAGAGTCGTATGCCTGTTCAATGAGAGCAAGTTCTTCTCGCTGACTCTGGTTCAGTCTACCCTTTACAGAGTAGGCCTCGCGGAGGCGTTCAAGAGCAAGAATAAGAATCTTGGTGTCATGCTTGTACGAGACACTCGGGAACGGAATGGGTGAGAACTTGCGAGACTCAAGCCAGTGCACCATGGTTGTGTAAATAGCCACTGCTTCTTCCGAAGATACATAAGGACCATCCTTCAAGTAATTGTGCTGTCTCTCCTGCTCAGCCTTGAGCCATAGTCGAGTCAGTCGACCAAGATTCTTCTTGGCAACAGTCTTATCCACGGTGGCACCGCGGCGAATACGTTCACGATTGTAGTGCGCGACAGATATCCACCAATCGGCCTTGCTCTTCACATATCGCAAGATAATATTCTCGATGGGTGCTGGAAGCCCCGGCACCTTCCAGGGAATATTACTCTTCCAGCATCGCCATGCTTCAGACAGATGTTGCAGAACTGTGTTGACTTTGTTCTGTTTGATACCTTCAGGCATCATGTCCATCAGATCCGCCATGACGGAGGCTCGCAGTTCAAGATCGAAGTGTGACTCGACACGCTGCTTGGTGACGGTCTTGGCAACGCCCTTGCTATGACGACCCTCAAACTGACGGGAAAGCAGGTTTCCAAGCCATCTCTCAAGAAGAGGAATGATACCGCGCATGAAGAACAGCCAAACGCGCCAAGCAGGGGCCCAAAAACCGCAACCAGGACCTTTACCAACAGGCCCAGAGTTGAACCGGTAGTAGATCAAATGCTTCAAGTCCTTACAGGAACGGATTTGATGCATCAACTTGTACTTGTAACGGTACATACCGGTCAACTGTCCAACATGGTTGAAAGCGTACAGAATGCCATCGGCCAATTGAAAAGCATCGATGTTACCCAGACGATATTGAACTTGCGCATCAACAATTAACTTTGTAAGGCGCAGAATCTCACGCATCAAGTGAAAAGCGTTACCGAAGCGGGACTTCTTTCGCTCCTTAGTGGTCAGTGTCTTAACTGGCTTCAAATTGAAGTTGTAGTCGAGATGCAGATAGGTCAGGTTCTTTCGGTGAATCAAGAGGTTGAGCATGTTGAAACCCTGGCGGCAAACCTGGAGACCAGCTTCAACCCAGTCGATCGTCGTCTGCTGGAAGAACTTGGTAGATTTCAGAGTCTTCAACAGATTTTGCTTGTTCTGGGCCTTAGGCTTCTTCTTGTGCAACTCATTGAGCACATACGTCTTGAGAAGCTTTTGATACGAGACTCGGACCTTCACGGGTTGGCCCTGGGGGCAATGCTCCAGGTACCACTGCTTGACGAGTGGCACGTCCTGCGCGCGCACCATCTTCCCAGATCTCTTATTGAACGGATGAGGAGCCCACCACAGGGCGATCGCTGAGGCAGTATCAGGTGTGTACAGTTCCTCGTCAGCGAAGAAGGGCTTCACCTCCGGTGGGAGTTCAAAAAGATCGTCCTCGTTGTTCCCGGGTCCAAAGATCTCATCCTCATGAGTGACCGTAATGTTCTTGGGGGCGACAGAGCGCGACGAAATGGGATTAATGACAGGGTCGAAGTAGAAAGCAGGAAGGTTAGGATCATCGGTTCGGACGTAAACGACTTGAGGATGAGAATACCAGGAAACTTTCACGCTTCTCGGCAGGGTGTTATATAAGAAAGGGAAAGCGACTCTGTACTCCGTCCGGATGGGTGCTCGGAAGATGATGCGATCAATCGCGTTGAATTCACCGAAATCCTCGTCATTAGGGTCGATGTCCTTGTACAAAGGCTCAAAGCGTGGGCCACCGGGGATGGCAACATTCAAGGCCTTTGCCGTAAGGAAACTGTTGAGATCAAACATGTGAAAGTAATTCTGGTCGACCACATCACTGAGCAACTGATGACTTAACCGGTAGAGAGTTGCCATCTGTGGAAGGGACAAATTCCAGCTCTTGTAGCTTGGTCCATTGACATGAGGGGTATCAAGTAGCGGGCGGTGATCGTAGAACCACTCATACACGGGGGCATCTTCGGATTCGTCGAGCTCCATCTGGACTGGCTCCAAGGGCTCGACGTCTTCGATATTCTCCGACCACGATAGGGGAGGTTCCTCGTCATCGAAAGGGGGAAAGCGCATCCGCTTGAAATGTCTGCGGTCGCTCTTCTCTCGCCGCATACACACCCACATTGTAGCCCACTGAGCATGGAAAACCGGTTCGATGACCCTCGGGGTCTCGTTCACGAGCGTGAGGCAGCCATTCACATGGTACAGCACCTTGACCTCACGAGCCGATTCCCAAGGCATGGGCATGTTCTCCAGCAGTTTCAGGACTGCGTGAGGCATGAACTTCAGCGCGCCGAGATAGCTGCGCTTCTCATTGCTGAACTTCTTCTGTGATACGTCGCCGATATCTCTGACAATCTTCCGCAGGTGCTCTGGAGGCATGTCCGCCTTCTGTGTCTCAACAAACCCGCCTTTCCTCTTCTCTCCAAACCGATTGCGCTGCGTCCGCAGCCACTCGTTCTTCTTCTGAGCAAACTTTGCGACATTCGGATCCGCCGGGGGCTGGTATCCTGGCGGCGGCGGCGCCAAAGGCATGGAAGGAGGGGCTGCTGCACCCCATCCGGGGGGAGGGGGAGGAGGCAACGACGCCATGGTGATGGCGATTAACGAATGAAAGACGCTTTCGACCTAGCAGACTCTGATAATGGAGCAAAAGTCGCGTCAAACCACGTCGAGAAAAATCATCAAACTCAAGACGAAAGCACCGACGGGACTTCACAAAAGTGATGATTATGAAGATATATTCGCGTCGAAAGTATGAAATGATAGCCCCGAAGAGAAAATCCCAACTCCCGAACGATCCCCTTCTCACAACGGGTGATGGAAGACGCTGTTCTGGCTCCTTTCTTGGTGATGGGCAAGCTTGAACAGAGGTGGCGGCTCTCCGCGGAAAGACGCTAGTCTTTATTGGGGTTAGCTCATGCTCGCCAAATTCGCGCTAGCGCGGCCTTCCAGGGCTCCGAGCGAAACCCACACAAATCCAGATGACTTTGAGAATTCTACGAGGACAACGACGACAACCGACGACGCCGCCGCCAATCTCTTGATCACCGTTTCAGAGGTTCAAGGACAATCAAAATGGCGAACAACAGATTGCAATACGTGAGTTTTTGAACTGGAATATATTTCTTGCTTGGATGAAATACTGATTTTCTTTTTTTTTTTCTACAGCGGAGACGGAACCCGTACGTTTGAAATTCCCTCCCAGAAGTTCACAATACTATGCCCCCTGCGTCGCTTTCATTATCGGCGTTGTTCGCTTCAGTTCAGTGGCATATCGCATGATATTTGGCGCGACGAGACGCATCGGTTCTGAATCTGCCCTTGAAAGCACGATATTGATAGGTTTTTGTTCTACAGGTACAACACGCGGTCCAACAAGGTCCGCATCATCAAGACTCCTGGCGGCGAGCTCCGTTACCTCCACATCAAGAAGAAGGGCACTGCTCCCAAGTGCGGTGACTGTGGCATCAAGCTCCCCGGCGTGAGTGCTCCCGAGTGAAATTCTGGCTAGCAAGTGGTCTTCTGTGCGCTTTTTTGGATGTCTTCGATTGTACTGTCGAGTCGAGAGAGACAAGCTCGAGGAACGGAAAACGCACATTTTGATCACCTCTAGCCAAGTGATAGGAAGATGAGCAGGATCGCTGATTAGAAGGCTTAGATTCCCGCCCTCCGCCCTCGTGAATACTCCCAGATCTCCCGGCCCAAGAAGACCGTCAGCCGTGCCTATGGTGGTTCTCGCTGCGCCGGTTGCGTCAAGGACCGTATTGTCCGTGCTTTCCTGATTGAGGAGCAGAAGATCGTCAAGAAGGTCCTCAAGGAGTCTCAGGAGAAGGCCGCTGGCAAGCGCTAAACGATTACGTTTTGTTCTCGGTGTTGGTCTTTTTTTAAAGTGGGAGCGAATGATATGGAAAAATTCAGCCGGGTACGGTTCTCTTAGAGATAAAAGATGAACAGACACGGCTAGCATGCGAACCTTGTATGGTCGTGGCTATCAATGAAATTTCATTCTCATTATGAGTTATCAGCTCTCCCTGTCACTGTGTTGATCTGCCCAGAGGGAACACACGAGGTATCCAGCGATGGAATAATGATCACCCTCATCAGAGAACCATTTCCCTCTGTCCGGGCGCGTAGCTTTCCACTTCTGCAGACCGATCTCATTCGAAGATATCGTAGTTACGGATTACCCGTTAATCATTAAGAAATCGCTTCATTTACCTTCCCGCTCAAAGTCATCCGCTCAGGGCTCAGATAAATATCTTCATGGTCATGCTTCAATGGTCATGGCAGGATAGCCAGCGTCAGCAGGGTCTCACCATATTCCGATGTTCTGGAGCCTGAATCATCAGGCACCAATTGGTGTCAAAAATTTTTGTTGGAGCAGAATTAAGCCATTGTGATGCAACATGCTTGCAATTTCTACTCAAAAGAAGGAAAGTTGCAATGGACCCGGTCAGAAATATTGTCTAAGGGGTAAAAAAATATATCAATGGTATTAGGGAAAAGCATAGTTGTGTGGAAATGAGAGTTGGGCATGATAGTATATTTCTAGAAGAGGGTGCCTGCTTGTGCATGTACTAGGACCCGACATCTACTACTGCGGGTACCACCCGTGCTACATTGGCAAAACGTGAAAGGGAGGATCAGATTCTTCACGGCAGAAGTAACGATATCCTTCTCGAAGAGCGCACAGATGGATGAATGATGTCGGAGCTCCCTCCTCGTGATCCACAATACAAATCTACCATTGTGATCACCATTCGACACGGCGACCATCAACCTGGTAGATTGCTCTTTTTTTTATCCTGTTAATTTGTAAGAATATGAAACTAGGTACGGGACGTAGTACATATACACACATCCATGAATTCATTACTGAACAAATCTTGCCCATGTATTTTTGACAAAATCCCTTTTTTATCCACGTCGAATTACTTTCAGGTACCGAAACCGGTGAATCCTGGTCGGTTATTAGGACGGCATGCAGCTAGCTAGTGCATAGCTGAGGGTCTAACAAGGTGTTCCACTGTTGTGAAATTGACTGCTGTGCTGCAGATCTTGGGGGATCTGGCTGGAGAGAGTCGCTTCTCGATTCCGAGGGAGGGCCAATGGGCCCCGTCACGCATGAGTCTAAGTCATGCATCTATCGTTTGAGGCTTTACGACCTTCCACTAATGGATTTATTTGGGACAGAAGAAGGATGCTCAGTTGCAAGTCCACCGTCCATGAGACATTCGAGGTAGTAGTCTATCAGTAGATAGAGTTCTGTCACTGAAGCTGATCGACAGAGAAATGTCACCTGTCAATTATGTACCCAGCCATCGAAAGATCACACATGTATACCTCTTCGGCTCAGACACATGATGTACGTTGCTGTACAGATTACACTGCTGTAGGCATCCTATGGAAGCGGTGTGGATGTCACTCAGTCCTATCTTTTCGCTCTCTAGGTACCCGTGATTCTCGTGAGAACCTTGTCTTCGACACGAAAACCGGTCGTCAACCGGACTGGTAATGCGTGAAACCAGCCATCTGTGTGCTGATACCAGAGGGATCTATAATAGCATCCACATAAGCAGATCCCCTCACAGGATGTAGAAAGGAGATCATATGCGCGGGGATGGCGGAAAGGGGGTTGGGTCCCCGATTTGTAAAGATGAGCAACTATTCTCTGCAACTGCAAGAGGGGTGAGAAATAAGTACGCACCGAATATAACCTAGTCTAGAGGCTGATATGGGATGTGCTGTTTCGGAAATGAATCCCTGCTGTGACAACCCCGGGCGTTAAGGTCCGGTCAGGACAGGTGGAAGGAGCATCAGGCAACCCGGTCATAATTGTGAAGGCAACGAGCTAGTCCGAAGTGGAATCATGTTCTATTCTTTGATGAGAAGCATGCACCTTGAGGAACATCCCATAAGCCCCAGTAACATGAAGCAGGGAAAACAACAATAAACCACATGATACACAACAAAGAATGACACGGAGGAAGACGGCGGTCTCTTTTACTTTTTTTCATCTTGAATCTCTGATCATGGCGCTCAAGGCATGATGCTAGTTCGTGGAGACGTAGAATTCATCAAGCACTTGGAGTTGATCACCATACGGAGTATGCAGCCTGCCAATAGAGGGTCTATGAGGATGTAAAAAAGGGGCGTTTTGTTCATTATCCGTTTCTGTAGCTGTAGGACAATGGCTAAACTAGGCTGTATCAAATAGACTACGTTCAGGCAGCTTAGAGTTCGGAGCGGGCCGCTATCTTTATAGGAAACATCCTTTTGGCTTTGCAGCTTTGAAAGCATGAAGTAAGTGATTACTCATGGACATGAATGGATCGATTCACTTTGCTGAATTTGACAGTGGAGTCTATGTCTCAAGTTCCTGCAGAAAAAAGCAGTCCAACTCGCAGATAAGCGGAGAGGCACAGTAATTACTTGAGGAGTGTGTCATCATACCTAAGACCTTGAATCTCACTGTCAGATGACAATGACCTTGCTCGGTGGCCTATCCCAGGGATCTGACGTGGATGCTCGTCTCAACCTCCTTTATAGTTTATACGGTACAATCCACGCCTGGAAAAAAAAAAAAAGAACGGACATCCATCTTACGCGAACCATCGAATAACAGAGCACATGAGAAGTAATCAAGCCCAGAGCAACTCAGAACCCACAGTGGTCACTCTGTCTGGCGCTGCCACTGCGCGCCATTGGGCTTGGCTGCATTTACCAGTGGGATATTGACATCCACGAAGTCGACTGAGATAGTGAGAGTGAGGGAGCTACATCCCAGTTCGAATCGGATGTGACAGACAGACTGACAGGCTGACAGCATTCGACATACCTGAGACATCAAACTCTAACTTCAAACTCTAACTATATCTCTGTCTAGATACCTGTCAGTTATCTAGGCATTTGTAAGGTACTTTTGATAGTGCCTTCTAGCAGAGTTTAATTTTTTTGCGCTAAAACGCCAATGGTACGTGCTTAGGGTCATCTAGCGCGCTGGGTTTATTCGGTCTTCTGGAGAGAGTTCAATGCCGCTTCAATGAGCGAAAACAAGATGACAACGCGCAGTCTCGTTTCGTCTCGCCTCGTCTCCGGCATAATGAGTGACCATCCAACTGTCGAATCGACCCCACCACACCCTAGGGACCTTTACTTACATATTCCACATACTCATACATACATACATGCACATCCTTGAAGATGCCACCTTAGCTCCCTCTCATTATCAACTAGATGCCTTGCGTGGGTAATCACAAGGCAGAAACACCACCAGTCACCGGACTTTATGGCTGAAAAATGAGCTCGAGGACGGCTGAATCTCTGGCCGAATGGGTCGTCTCTGCCGCGTACTATCTGCATGTATTATGCAAAAATAGTTTTGTGTTCTGACTCCCGTAGATGAAGGATCCGTACGGAGTACGGAGTACATTGGGCAGCATGCTCCGTCCTCGATGACGCGAGTCCTATGACAAGCTGACATGGATGCTGAGAGTCTGTCCGGAACTGGCATTACCCTATCATTATCATCATCATCATCATCGTCGCGTCACAGTTTGCAATGACTGTCCACATGATCGACTTTATATGAAGAGACAAATCGTAATGGGACCGGACAAACAACAAATAAGAAATCTTCGACGCCGGCCAGGAACTTTTCCGCTCTCACTAAGCCAGAAATGAAAAGAAAATGATCAAAAAGGAAAATGCATCGACATAAATTCATGAACAAATGCTAGCGTGGACTGGAAATAGTCAGCTACAGTACATGTCTAGTTAGATTATGCAAGTCAGCTAATCAGAGCCCTGGCCCTGGTGTCTCAAATATGTGTCTGACTGCGGCCCACTCTCTTCTCTCAATAGTCCAGAAATTGTTGATACACTGAGTTGAAGATCTGACGAGGGTTCCGGGCCGGTCCACCAGCCATGGTTATTAATTGTAGGTAATCAATGGGGCAGCGAATAGACTCCACAGCAATCTCCAATCCCGCGTTCATATGCAAAACAATACTCTTCGTTAGGCCCCGCCATGTCATAGAACATAGGGGTACAGGGAGGGGGCCTCCGTGCAGCCAATGACGCTAGCCAAATTGTACTGTTCTGCTGACGGTCGATGCATGAGCGTGGCAGGACCGGACGCACGGGTTGGTGTCACTGTCGTCGCCACAGAAGTAGCTGTGCGAAGGTACGGGAAGTGATTCCCGATCTGTGACGGTAGCTGCTGCTGCTGCTGCTGCTGCAGAGGGGCGGAATGCAGATACAGTCGTTCCCTTTGTGCAGCGTCCTGCGGGCCTCCTGTCATCAAAAACATCTGACCACGATACTTGGCTGCAATCTTGGTCGCCTTCCCTCCTTTGGCCCCAGATCGTTGGCGCTGGGGAGCCGGTGTATCCGAGCCCAAAGGCCTTTTGTGATTCGCTTGCTTCCTGTATCGGGTAGTCGACTGGATGCCTTTCCTGTATGCCTCGTCCGTAAGGCGCCAGTAATTCACGGCCTTTTTGCCATTGGGAGATTCTACCCTCACGGCTTCAAAGCCCTGCGAGTTAAGTCGCATCTTAGCACGCAACTCCAGCAGAGATCAAAACAAAAGAAAGGGTAAACCCATGGAGCATCTGTGGGACCACATACCGCATTCATTGAGAGATTGTGCCGGATACTGTTCTGCCATCCCTTTGAGCGTTGGTCTCTCCCCTTGCTTGTATTTTGCTCGAACCAGCTATAGATCTCCTGAAGAGTACGCTTCCTATCAGGAGCAGTCTTTAGAGCTTCCGCGATCAAATGAGAATACGGAAGGTCTGTGGGCCCACTGTCGTCTGAAATTGGATTCCTTTCTGTTTCATTGCGCTCAATTTCTCGCTGGATTTCTGTTCTCTCACGGTCGACATGCTGTGAAGAATTGGAAGACGTGGCTGACCTTGTTTGGGGAGAGGGTGTGGTGTGCATCGTCTCAGACTGTTGTGGAAAGGGTTCAGCGGCTGGTGAAGGCGTAATGTAGATCTGAGAATCAGGGGCATTGCGACCATGGCCCTCTACTCCCTGGATCCAGTCCGACGAACTTTCAGTCACACGAGGGTACCCAAACTGAATATCTGCCTGGTCCGGTCTGGAGTAGGGCGCCATCGCATGAGACGTCCCTTCATCACAGTATGAAAATAGATAAAGATTTCCATCTTTGGGAGCTTCCAGCGGCGACGTAGAAGCACTGAGGGGATAAGCTTGAGTTGTACTGAGCGCCCATGGGTCAGGAAAAGTGAATGCTGTCTCCAGGGTCTCTGGGCTGCTTGAACTTGAATTCACCCACACTATTGAGCAGGGATTGGAATTATCGGAATTCTCTGCAAAAGAGCCATCAGACGAGGGGGATGATGATTGCAACAGCTGTGAAGAGTAATGATGATAAGCTCCCTGGTCAGAGTTGTTTGCGGGTAAATCGTAGGAGGGAATGGAGTGAACCATAGTGTCTGGTCTTAACACAAACTAATGTCAATCGCAGGCTGTTTTGAAACTCCACACAACCTTGAGGAACTGACATCAGAGGATAATATCCACAGAGAAGGGACAATAGTAATAGAGTTTAATAAGGTGTAAGACTGCTCACAAGAGAGAGAGAGATCAAGCGCACTGATGAGGGGATGGCCCCGTTAGATACACGGAAGAGTAGACCAGAATTGTGGAGAGCAAATGCGAAAATAAGGTGACAGAAGCCAGAAATTTCGAAGAGCCCCAGAAATTGACAGGTATCCCAAAGACAAAGAAAAAGGGGAAAAGAAAAAAAAAAGGAAAAGGCGGGACCACCGAGCAAAGAGAGAAGATGCACCAGGTCATTCAAGGTGAACTATCATGAGGTAAAAGTGTAGAGTGCCAGCTCATACCTAAAGTTGACGTCCTTTCTTGTTGCCTTGTCTGCTGAGGACTACCCGACAGATTCATGCACATCTGGCCCCAACGAACAAGGGGGAAAGGGTCTGAGACGTAGGGGGACTAGTTTTGGCCGTCATGCGTCTTGAGTGTGATATACTCATAAAGTGGTCGTGCTTCAATCCATTCCTTCTACAGGAAATGCTTTCCCAGGCTGTGGAACAGGGATCCAGTATAAGGACGCAACTAATGAACTCCGTGACTGTGAAGAGGCTGGATCTGGTACTACAGAGGGGCTGCAAAGGATCAATTAGTGACATTTTACAAGCTAGGCCGACCGGGATTAGCTTGAGCTCGCGGATAGCGGACGCCTGCAGAGGGTCTTGCTATGGTCCATACTTTAGTACATGGAACAACCGAAAATGGAACAACGAGAGTACGGAAAAAGAAAAAGAAAGAGATACAGAACACGGGCCTTTTCTGGAATCGATATTGCCACAGGGTCTTGAGGAACCCCAACTGCTTCTCTTCAATCCATCCTGCAGATGCTCAAGCAATTTCTCTGTTCCCCGTCCAGCCGGAACCCGTCAAACGGCCTGCAGGTGGCATGGGTGTCACCATAGCCGCCGCTTCATCACAACCCTCTCCGGTTCAATTTCGTGGCGACGATTCGAAATGCGATAAGGTATCCAGGATGTATTGCCGGCTCCCAGGTGATTTCCGTCAGCATCGCTCGAAGTCGAAAATTACTTACACATCTTCAGCGTCGCCCCGAAAAGGCGGAAGGACGAAAAGTGCAATACTTTAAAGGGGTTGCAGAGTGGTGGATTTAAGCATTAGATAGTGATTTCCCGCACATGGAACCTCTCATATGTGAGTACGGTCGTAGAACCGGAGCCAGACCCTAGTTGACATCTCTGCAAGGTAAGGTAGGTTCGTATGACACGTCTTAGCCCTTCGCCTAAGGCATCGTAAAGTCACCGAGGTCGGCCGTCTTGAGATCCAGTGATGAAGCGGACGGTTAGTATTTCCCGGCCAATCATAGAACAGGATTTCCTCTCGCAGCAGATCCTGAACCGAAACATTCGCGAGCATGGAATCTAACTGATCCAAGATACGTAGCCATTGGGACATCGAGAGCGACTGGCCACAACGCAGACCGCCCAAGAGATATAAATAGGCGAGATCGTTAGATCGGTAAGCCGGCGTTGACGCTTCACTTCCGGTAGTAGATCTATAACCAATCAGTATCTGCTGTTCTGACAAGCAAACTGCGACTCAAGTAAGGAAGTTGGGGAGAAAGCTTACTCGCTTGAACTGAAAATGAAGTTGTAAGATTCCCTGGAGATGTCAGTACTTGTAAGTGCAATAGAAGGGGCGCCGGGGTATACCTTGTCGAACGTGCTTTTAAATCCCCTCTCTCTTTTGGCGCTATAGTCCCACTCTTTGTCTACGATACGAAATGCGATATCTTCGTACGGGGGTCCAGCCATAAACCGAATAAGGCACGTATCTTCTTCGCCAGCTGCGGCAAATGATTGTCCGCGTTTCCGTCCATGCTCGCGTTCAATGCGGTACGTAGGGGCTTTTGTTTTATCGATAAGATCGGGGTAGAAAATGTTGAACTTGTAGCCCTGGACAACTTTTGGTGGCGGATTGTCATGATCATAGTGCGTCTGGTTGTATTTGTTCCACTCATACCCCATTTGCACCCGGTTGAAGTACCGCGGCTTGCGAGGTCGGTACTTGCTGGCCCACTGCGGTTGCGCACCCGTGCTGACAGATTCCTCGCCCGTAAAGATCTCCTCGTTTTCACTGACTCCTTTAGCAAGTTCTCTCTCGTAAAGAGCTTTCGTCGCTTGCGAGAAATCCTCATTGGGAATCGATGAGAAGCGGGTGGATGCTGTCGCAGTAGGCATGTTCGTTGTCTGATTTGCGGAAGCTGCAGAGGGTCTCTCCGTCTGCCGCTGACGAAGGGGAACAAAGCCCATCTTTAGAATCTTTTGTCGTTCGCGTGCCTTCAAGCGTAGTCAGCAACAGACTGGGACCACACATACAAGAGCAAGGGCAACTTACCACTTGATTAAGGAAAGCTCCTTCATCCAATATTTCCAAGCCTTTATCCTCTGGACGAATCTGGAGCAATGGCTCGGGATCTAGATCACGGAATTCGATCTCACTAAGCTGTTCAGGTCGTTCCTGATATGTCTGAATGGCCGGTGCGAGAGGAGCCAGTTTCGTTCGGATAGATTCAGCCTCTTCATGTTGTTGTTTGCGCAACCCTCTGACACGCTCATCGATCACGGCCTGGTAGACGTTCTTCACCTTCGCGCGAGCTTTCCACACCGTCAGGCTGCGCAAAAGCTCTTCCCAATAATCAGTGTCGATAGGCTCGTTAGAGTCCAGCTTCTTCCGGACCTGCACCTCAAGGGTCTCGAGTTGCTCGTATGTTTTCGGGCTTAGGAGTCGATTAATGTCAGCGGCAACGGAGCTGAGAGCACGTCCTTCGGGGGCAGTCGTTTTCTGGCGATCTCGGCAGATAACCTTCATTGTCTGAATGGAGGCACGAGATTAGTCTCGAGCAAATGAGAACAAGACGCAGATAAGACTTACTTTCCAAAAATCCCTATTCTGTGAATTCTTCTCCAAGCTCAGAAATGTATCGATATCCTTCTCCAACTCGAGTAATTGACTCTGAGATAACCCTTCGAAAACGCCATCGGGATCCACCAGATCCAGCTCTGAGTCCGCAATCTCATCGTCAAGAGGATTCCGTGTTGGATCAATAACTCGCAGAGTAACCGTAAGCCAATCTATTGGTTTCGCACGACCCTCTTTGACTCGGATCTCGGCTTTCTTTTTCGCTTGCTTGAGAACAAACATGTCCTCCTGCGCCACCCATTCACGCACTTGCTCATCCTCCTGTAACTGATTGAGACGCACCTGGTCTCGCATGCTCCTTACCGGCGGCTGCGATGGTCGGCTGTTTCCATCCTCCCATTTTCTACCGCCCTGGTGTCGGTCTCTCTCGTCGTATTTGCGGTGATATTTCTGGGGCTGGCGCCACGACGAAGGGGAGCGAGAGCGGCTTCGCTTAGAGCCTGTTCTGTCGGGGAGTCGCGACGACATCTCGTCGTCCGATCGCGTGAAATTTTGCTGAAGAGACCTTCGATCGCAGTAGTATGTTTGTTGAACGTCGCGATGGCCGTCACTTTGGAAGATCCGCGAATAGTCTGGACTCTGGAGAAGCTTCCGGGTGGAAGGTTAACCGAGCGGCAGAGTTTCCGCAGTTTAGCACGTGCTCCGCTCCGCCATCACGTCAAATACAACTGGGAGTGCTGCCTGGGATGATAATAATCACTTACAACTACCCAGCGGGAGATTTTGATGATGCCCTCGAAATGGAGAAGACTTCGTCTTCCAAAGCAGGATGGCTTGCCTCCGCTTCTTTTGAGATACTCCAGAACACTAGATAGTTACGATGTTTACATGACTGACCTTTCCAATATCTGGACCGAGCATATGAGTCGCCAGGACATTCTCAACAGAGCCGATGAAGATGCTACTACAATTGACCCGAGCGAAGACCCAGATCAGCTTGAAGTGCTCCTTGGAAAGATAGATGGAGCTCTAAGTGGCGAACCTGGCTGTACTGCATCGCTAGAAAATGGATTGCGCGAGGATTCTATGAAACTGACAGTATCAACAAAGCTTCCTGCACCGTTGAGACCTTTAATATGGATTATCTATCTTTCGAAGGAGCCGCAATCTTCTACATCTCAGCATCTTATACTCCCATTACTTCGAGCAGAAGCCGGGTGGGAGTCGCGCCAGCGAACTCTCCTTGACTACCTTAGTAAGAAAGACTGGGTTCTAGGAAAGCTGTTCGATAAGATCGAGGGCATGGGTATCGATCTGAGCACCATCTTTCCTGGAATCTCCGGGCTACGGAAAGCTCACGGGGATACGTTGCTCTCTCAAGCTGCCAATTACATCAAAGGAGTGGCGCCTTTCAATGAACAAGAATGGCTTGACGAAGTCGCCAAATCATCACCTGATTCAGTTGTTGCTGCCAACATTCTTGCGGAAGTGTCTGGATCCGCAGACACCAGAGAGGTAGAGAGACTCGGCCCACCCCCGGACAGTTGGTGGGTGAAGCTCGCAGCAACCAGAGCTAGCAGCATGGCGACTCCAAAGCGTGGAGGAGCCACAAAAACCGCGGAGAAAAAGCCCGCGAAAACTGTTTCCGAAATGCACACGGA